AGGAGGCGCCGCAGCAGTTGCCGTACATCCCGTTGGAGAGGCCCCGTTGGGGAAGCCGCCGCGTCTGCCTGCCAGTGCGACGGACCAGGATGTATACGGAACTGGTATGGTTTCGGAGTGCGCACCGGAGGGGGCAGCGGCAGGACCTGGAACCTGCGCCGCTGTGGCGGCGGCGGATGAAGCCCTGTCGGACGCGGCCATGGCTGCGGCAGCCGCAGCATCGCAACGGAAGCAGCCGGCTCCGAAACCTAAAATCATCACCGCAAATCGGCCGCTAGTGAACCCAGCCCTCCGGAAGGCAGGGAAGGCGGACGGCAGCACCAGGCTGGTGATACGGCCCGCAACCAGCACTGGCCCCGGCGGCGGCATGGGCACTTTTTCAGGTACGGCAGGCCATGTACGGCATCCGTGCCGAGAGTAACACCTAGCGTGTGGAGGGCCTGGGTAACGGATGGCACGCCGCGCTGTGTTGTGAGAACTATGTACGCAATGTTGTAGACTGGGCGGAGGGGAAAAACCCACGGGGTTCAGGGCCCCCCCTGGATTCGAGTGTGGGATGGAGCTTAAGAAGACATGGACGAAGACATGGACTTCCTTTAGAAGAAGGAAAAGAAAATAAAGGAAACGTATGGCACCTCAAAACATATGTTTATATATTTTTGGGTGTGTGCGGGTATGTAACAGCCCTAACTGTGGCTACGCCGCCGCAATGTGTTACTTATTGCAATCCGCGGTGCGCACGGTGTGGTGTGGTGTGGTGTGGAACCCCAAAATCAGGGCGAGAGCTGAAAAACCGATGAATCAATGCGCTGTGATGTGGTCGTGCTGTGGTCGTGCTCTTGGTGCACTAGACACAGAGAATTTCCTTGCACGATGTGGGTCTCTGCTTATGTTTCACAATTCACGATTCATGCATCAAGGTTGCGTGCGTTTCGTTGGAATTTCGCTGTATTTGAAATGCGCGTGCTCGTCGTGAGATCTGCCCATGAGACTGAGGGGGTGCGGCCTGCCTCGGTGTCCCCATTTGAATTCAGATGCCGAGTATGGTGAGCTGCCTTTCGACGGTTTGGAGCCTACAGCGGCGACGACGACGGCAGCGGCGGCGGCGGTGCCGCTGCCGCCACCGGTGTCGGGCCCATCGGAATGGTTCAAACCGGGCGCCGGGGGCCCCGCTGCGATTTCGCCCATCATTGCGGCGGCAGCAGCGGCGGCCGCTGCAGCGGCGGCCGCAGCAGCCAAGATGAAGGCGGAAGCTGCCCTGGCGGCGGCGGAGGGAGCAGTGACGACTGAACAACGGACGTCGCTGACGCCGGCGACGGCAGCGCCACCAGCGGCAGCTCCTGCCCCTCTGGCGGTTGCTCAGGCAGAAGCGGAGGCGGCAGTTCGTAGGGGCTACCACCCCGCCCAGCTCCCAGGCCATGCTGCTGTCGCTGTCCCGGGGGTCTTGACCTCAACTGCAGCACAGGCCTCGGTATCAGTAACACCCGACGGCGGGGAACCGCTAGGACCCCAGCAGAAGCGGCGGCGATGGGGCCCGGAGCATAGCGGCGGCGTTGGGGATGACGCCGCCGGCACCGGCGCTGTGGCAGCTTCGGCAGCGGCAGTATCCACGCCGCCGCTGGTCCAAAATTCCAGAGTTGCTGCGGGCGATGATGATGTGGCGCCCACGCGGCGATCGCCGTCGCCGCTGCAGCGGAGCGGTGCAGCCTACGAGACGGCGGCAGCGGCGGTGGTTGGGCGTTGGGGTCCTACGTCTGCCCCCGACGGCGTCGTCGCCGCCATCGACGAGGTGGTGGCGGCGAAAGTAACGGAGGAGGCAGTGAAAGAGGCACAGCGGTTGGCGGCGATGGCTGCATCTGCCGTTCCTTCCGGCGCCGCCGACCCCGCGGCTGCTGTTGTAGAGCAAATAGCTGCAGCAGCAGCGGCGGCGGCGGCGGCTGGGGCGGGGGCGATCGAGGGGCATGGCGGAGGGTCAGTAGCAGCTCTGGGAGGAAGTTATGACGGCGGCAGTGGCCAGCGCAAGAAGGCGGATATCCGGGCTGATGGCCGAGTGGAAGCCAAGGAGTCAAGAGGGGTAGAGGAGGTAAACGTGGTTAAACCTAGGCGAGATGCGGCATCGCCGCCGCCGCCGCCGCAGCAGCAGCAGCCGCCAAAGCAGCAGTCTGATAGTCGGCGGCGGGGGTCGCGGCACCAGCACCTCAGTAGCAGTCGAAGCACCAGGAGTAGCAGCAGTAGCAGCGAGGATAGTGGTAGCAGGAGCAAAAGCCCTAGCAGCAGGAGCACTTCCAGCGGGTGCTATCGAGGAAGGTGCGCTTGGCATGCTTTGTTTTTTGGGGGATGCATGGGGCTTAGGTTGTGGAATGCAGCGATCCTGTGTTCGTCCTTTGCAATATATACAGCCAATTTTGCTTTGTTGGATTAGGGCAGTGTTTCTCAAGCAATCTAAAATCCACAGAGTTTTGCATCGAACATGAGATGACTCAAGTACTTTTGTTTTCGCGGTCTACGCTGATTTTTATGCGTGGCTTGCGTCGCAATCTCGATAAGAAACATGCCTCAAAAAACCTGCGAAGAAGCTACAACACCGCTTGATTTTAGGAAATTACACAACAAAAAGTGACTAACCACAAAGCACTTTTTGTCTGTTATCTCGACCTGGCGCCGGGAGATGGAAAAGGATAGCACGTTTGACGTAACCTGCCGCGCCGGAAGCGGTCCTAAAGTTCTCCGGTTTCCTTGCGCCCCGAAATGGAGCTACATCATGCACCGCTTTGGCGCACTTGTCCGGGACGCCCGCCAGATCCCGGACTAGCCCCTTGGCCCAATCATGATAATCATTTCGAGCCACCTGCTGCTGCTGATCCGTCCTTTGTCTCATCCTTTACCGGGTATGGTCATATCCCTTGGGAAAACACAGGACAGTCCAGTCGGTACCAATTGCAGGAGCAATTGGCCCAGCATGGAAAAGGCTTATCGGAAGCGGCTCAGCTCCAAGCGCGGAAACAGTATTCGCCGAATATACGACTTGGAATTAATTTTACGCTTCCATAGTAAAAGAGTATAAAAGCGCAGCGGAAGAGCTCATAGCTTAAACGTTTCGTGCCTTTGTTGACTTCCCCAAAACATTTCCCTCTCCATTTCTTTGCTGACAAAAAGCGGAGTATAATAACCTTATGTTAATCCTCCATTCCTTTATGTTATTAATTCCGCTTCCCGTTTCTCGGATTGCCGCAGCCGCTCGCCTGCGCGAGACCGTCACCGCGGGAGGCACCTTCGAAACGGCGAGCGCAGCAGAGATGGCCATGCAACCGGCACCACCACAGCCGCCTCCACACGCCTACATCACCCTCCGGCGCCGTCCTCACCACAACACCACGGAGTACGGCACCACCAAGCCCTGCAGCCGCCGCATCCACATCCGAATGGGCCTTCACACGCAGTTGTGCCGTTGGCTCCCGGCGTTGGTTCCCTGGAGCGTCGCAATCGAGATCGAGACCACCGAGACCATCGCGACCACCGTGACCGCGATAGGGCCCCACAGAGCCCTCCGGGCGCTCATGCGGATCGCGAACGGCGGGCTGCCCGAGGGGATCGAGATCGGGATCGAACTCGAGATCGCGACCGGGACAAGGCTCGATCCCGTGATCGCGGCCGGGAGAGGGACAGGGAAAAGGATTGGGAGAGGGAGAGGGAACGTGAGCGAGGCCACCGCGGAGCTAGACCGTTATCGAGGACGCGTACGGGCAAGGCCAGCAGTCGATCACCACAGCCGCAGCGTCGTAGCGGCGGCAGTAGCCGGTCGCCGCCGCCGTCGGGGCACGGACGGCGGCAGCGTAGCTTGTCGCCGCTACAGCGGCAGCGGGGTGTGTCTGGGCCGGGGCCGGGGCTGCCATGTAGAGACGCACGAGGAGGCGGCGGTGGTGGCGGCGGCGGCTCGCGTGGAGAGTACGACCATCCGCAGCAGCAGCAGCGTGCCGACCCGCGGGTCACTGGCACCCGCGATGGTGCACGGGATGGGCGCGGACGCGAGTGGGGCGCCGACAGGGAGGTACCCCGCGGGATTGTTGACCGCGACTGGGGACCCGATCGGTACGGCGGATCTGCCGTACGGGACGAGCGGCGGGACCGTGACAGGGATTGGGACCACGAGCGCGGCCGTGAGTGGGACCGTGACCGTGATCGCGAGCAGTACTGGCGGCGGCCCCCGGGGGCCGGCGGTAGGTCTAGGGAGGGATCCCCAGACTTGCCAAGCACATTGCCACAGCCGCACGGCCAGCCTCCACGTCACCTATCGCCGCCGCCGGCACAACACCTCCGAAACGCCGGCCGTGGCGGCGGCGGCGCCGTTGGTCGGGATTATCGTACTGACGGCGGTCGTGACTCGCAGCCCCACAGCCCATCCGAAGGTGCCTTCATGTCGCGACCGCCGAACCTTCGGGATGGAAGTGCGCCGTACGGCGCCGCCGCCACTACCGGAGGCAGCGGCCGCGTCCATTCCTCCCCAGCGCGCTCGCCTCGGCCGCCGGCGTACGACTATCCGCCAGGGCAGTCGGCCTGGGGCCATGGTGGTGACCTTAGTCGTCGTACGACACCGCCGCCGCCTCACACGCAAGAGCCGTCACCCGTGCCGCCGCCGCCGTCGCGGGAACTGCCGCCGCAGGGTGGCCGCCGCAGCGGCGGTGGCGGCGGCAGCCCCAGCAGCGAGGAGGGCGCGGTGGAGGAAATGGATGTGGACATGGATGTGGATGATGGTGCTTACACCGGCATGCCCAATCTGAGTTCTCGGCCGCCGCCGCCGCCAAGCCGGCAAGATGACATGCCGCCGCTGCCTGCCGTACCTCCCCCCGGATCACCGACGGGTGCTAAGTGGAGCCATGACGCATCGTGGTACCATCAACAGCACCACCACTACCAACATTATCACCAACATCAACACCCGCACCATCATATGTACCACAATCTGTACGACGAGCGCGGCGGTGCCGCCCCCGTGGCGCCACCGCTGCCTCCGCCGCCACCGCAACCAGACCATGACCTCCTCCCGCCGGCGCCACCGCCGATGCCGCCACCGGCGCCGCCGCCACCACGACCAGTCTGGCCGGAAGGCCTGTACGAACAACTTCGTGAAACCTTTTTCGACAGAATACGTTGGTGCTGTCACGCTTCAGTGCTGTTGGAACCCCGTACGGCAGCTGCCGCCGTTGCCAACGCCGCCGCCAGCACGGCGCTGCAGGAGCCTCAGGGCACCCAGGAGGTGGCGGCGGCGGCGACAACGACGGCGACGGAAGCGGCCGCGGCGGAGGCGGTGGCAGTGGAAGCAGCCAGCACGCAGCCAAAGCAGGCCCCTGATGAGGAACCGCCTAGGGGGCCCTTGACGGCGGTGGAGGCCGCGGCGCTTCTTGAGCACGACGGGAGAGCGGTCTGGCGGTGGTTGGAAGGTCTGCATCTGGGTATGGATCGGGAGTTCGAATCGGTGGATCTGGGTTCGCCGGATCCAGAGGACGTGGTGCCGGCGCCCATGCCGCTGCCGATGCCGTACAGTAGCGGCGGCGTCGCTGGGCTCGCCGGCGGCGATGATGACGACGGCGGTAGTCCGGTTCCGGAGAACTTGGAGCCGGTGGGTGCAGTGTGTGGTGCTGATGGTGGTTGAGATGGCGTGTGTGCGGGAGGGGGCGCGTGGGTTAGGACCCGTTCGCGTGGTGTTTCGGTTTGTTGGTGTAGTGGCAACGTGTAAGGCATGGGTTGGAGCAACACGGCGCACACGCACAGACACGCACACAGACTGACGGCGGTTCAAGGAGTGTAGTACCGAAACTGGACGTGTGCAGGGTGTTGTCGCTACTGACGCTTCTCGACTCGGATCATTTTTTATCGTGCGATGTGCGTGCCATGCCGTGCCGTGCCATGCCACCACGTTACCTCTCCCCGCTAATGTGCACTCATCACTCGGCACATCATTACCCGACTCCCCACCCGCCAGCCCCATGCAAGCAATACTTCCCACCCACCTCACCCCTGTCACCCTGCAGCTGCCGCTCACGGACGAGTGCCGTGTGGTGCCCTGGACGCCGGATCCATACCGCCCACCCGTCGACCTCCGTGTACGACAAGACGATCCAGGTGCTCTGCAACAACCTCAACAACCGCCTCTCCTGTACCTCGTCGACTTCCCGTCGGATGAAAAGCTCTGGCAACCATGGCACTTGATGCGTCCGACGGCGGCGGCAGTGCCGCCGCCGGAGGCCGGCGGCGGCGGAGCCGCTGCCGGGGGACACGGCAGCGGCGGCACGTCGTACGGTCTGGAATACTCGGCGACGGAACGTACGACGGGTCGCCGTGACGGTGCGGCCGTCGTGAGTGCGGCGGGGTGGCAGCAGCCCGAGGCGGGGTTGTTCCGTTTCCCCACGCACAAGCTCAACCTGGTGGATGGCACTCTGTTGTGTCCGGACGTCAAGGCGATGTCGCTGGGGGAGCTGCGGGAGCTCGCAAGTGGAGGCGGCAGCAGGGCGCCGTTGTGGGGCTGCAGCGTGCAGCGAGTTGCGGACAAGTTGTGGTTGCCCCTGACGCAGGTAAAACAGGCAGGCGGTGGGAAGGGTGGCGGGAAGGGCGGGGGTGTGAGGTGACGGGAAGGGGATTACAAGTGGGGCAGATTGGAGAGGAGGCTTTAGGGCTGGCGGATATGCGTAGAGTGCGTGTGTATGTGTGTATGTATGTGATGCCGTTGCGTTGTGACGGGTTTCGTCGACTTGTTTGTAGTTCCGATGTGCGCTCCGACGTTTGTGAAAAGATGTTGACCCGGAGGAACGTTTTCACGTGAAAGGTTCCTAGTGCCGTACCTTAGCCGTACAAATTTGTTTTTTGGCTTATCGGATTCATTCTTCGCGTTGCCTGGAACGTGCCAGGAGCCCATTACGGCGGACCAGCTGAAATGGGTCGACTCAGTGGCGAGGTTGCCGGCGAAACCCGGCGGCGCAGGCGCCGCCAATGCCGCCACAGCAGCGTCCGCGACGGCGCCGATCCGTGTACGGCAGCCGCAAGGTCAGTTGCTGCGGCAGGTACTGGGCGCCTCGCAGACGGGTCGGGCGGCTGCCGCTGCCGCCGCCGCGAGCACACAGACCCATGGGTCCGCGTCACACCAGTCTAAACTCGCTGCGCTGGAAGCTTCCTACGCTCGATACAGCGGTAACAAGTCGGCGGCGCCAGGGTGTACGGCAGGGATAGGAGCCCCCGCTGCCCCTGGCGGCGGCGGCGGGGCCGCCGCCGCTTCACAGCAGTCGGTCAGCCTGGCGTCGGTGCTGGCGGCGGCGCCGGTGCAAGGCGGCGCTGGCGGCGTGCCGCCGCCGCCACCCCGTCGAATAGCACCATCCTCGGCTTCCTTGCCGACGTCGGCGGCGAAAGCCGGGTCCAGCCTTCTAGACTGGTTGGACCGGCGGTCGGCGCTGGTCGCGTCACCTTCAGTAGTAAGGTTAGTACTGGCCTGACCAAGGGCAAAGGGCAATGACGGGAAGAAGTACGTCGACGTCGACACAAGGCCTGAAGCTAGTGAAAACGGTGATTGGCTCTGCGGGGAGGGAGGCTTGGCATGGGTTTCCGTTCGCGCGAACACGCATTTTTCTATTAGAACTGAGCCGTGTCGCGCTTGGAATGTCCATACTGCCATACATATGTATGTATGTTGTTACAGGGTGGTTAACTTCGCCAGCGGCCCCCTTTCCCGGGGCAGTCCCTGCTCTCCCCTGCTAGAGGGGCACCCTAATCCGTCACCCCATCCGACTTCAGAATGTATTCGTTGAGTTCGGCAACTCACCACCAGCATCCAACCAAATCTAGCGGATCAACGGCGCATCAACTTAGTTCCTGGTCAGCTCGCAAGTTGATATTATCACGTCCTACACCGTCCATAAGATGGGGGGCCACCTCCCATTTCATCACTCCTCAAACACCCGAGGAGCCGGCAGGCGGATTTGAACCCGGGTCGACTGGGTCAACTGGGAGCAGAAGTCAGGCCTTAACCTCTGCCAGCCGCCTGCCTAAACAGATCGTCACCAGGGGTTCGCACGTGGTCCCCCACCGTACTACTGATCTGGCCCAATGTTGCTTATGTGCCCAGTGCTGATGGGATGGGCAGTATGTATGTATGTATGTACAATTGGCCCAGAAGCTTCACACTCTGTAACAACATTACATGCATATAATATATAACATCTTGTCTGCAGCTTGCAGCCGTTGGGTGACCGGCAAACCGCATGTCCTTTGTTCTGCAGGTCCGGTGATCCGCTTGGCGGGACCGCTGCGGCCGCGGGGACAGCGGCACCGGCGCCGCAGCTGCCGCCGCCGCCTCCCCACGTACTGGCGGAGCTGCGGTACACGTTGTACGAGCACACGCACAAGTACTTGCTGGGCCGCGTCCTCAAACCGCTGCTACAGGTAAGGGCCGAACAACGAAACGAGGACTAAGGACTTACCCTTGTTGTTGTTGGTGGTGGTGGTGCTGCTGCTGCTGCTGTTGTTGTTACTGGTGCTGCTGCCAATATCATAGCGCATTGGGCTCTTAGCTCCTGGCGATTAGGAAGAGGAGGTATAATTTTACAGGTTATAGAAAGAGTTTGCAACTTTGGACGCCGGTAGCTGTTTTTCCTTCTTCTGCTTCTTCTTCTTCTGATTGTTGACTTACGGCATATAGGCGTATAATGTCCTCCAAATAAACGAAAAATGTCGTCGCCTGTGTTTTCACGTCCATTCCTAGGAAGCCTTGGAGGCGCGAGACCGGCAGCCCGCAGCAACACCCGCGACGGCACCGGTCGCGGGCACGACGGCTGTAGCAAGAGTAGGAGCTGCTGCAGCAGGGGCAGCAGCAGCAGCAGCAGGGGCAGTAGCAGGGACAGCAGCAGCGGCGCCAAGGGCAGCGACGCCAGCGGGGTCTTCAGCTCCAGCGTGAGTTTGGTTGACAATACCCTTTTTCGTTGTTTGTATCTGCTCGTACTGCTGTTAGTGCTGCTGCTTCTGCCTTTGCTGTAGCTGCTACTGCTACTGATAGGAATGGTTTCGGAACTAGACAGTTTTCCAGGGTTTTTTAGTGGTTTTGGAGCGGGATATGATGGGACGCGCAGATTTCTTGTCGATTTTGTGATTGGCTGTGTTATCCCCGCACGGCATATATATGTATATGTATGCATATATGTATGCATATATGTATGTATATGTGTATGTATATGTGTATATATACATGCCGTCACAACAACATCGGCTTATCATTGGACTCCTGTATCCGGCCGTACCTTCTTGCCGTACTTTTTCCTGACTTCCCCTGATCGGCATGACCTAAGCCAGAGGATGAATCCGCCCATTGACCCGTCCGTTCCCGACTCTTGTGCTATTTCCTAAGACTCCGTCGCATACTTGCTTGCTGCTCCGCCTGTCGTCGTACAGAGCACGGACGCCGCCGTCTAGCTGCCCAGGTTCCGCTGCCGCTGCCGCCGCCGCCGCTGCCGCCGCCGCCGCCGCCACCTCCTCCGTGGACCCGGCAACGGAACGAGCTGCTGTAATGGAGTCGGATGGCGTCCTAACGGCCGCTGATAACGCAGCAGCTGTAGCGGTACCAGGAGCAGGGGCGGTCGTCGTGACAATGTCAGGCACAAAGCGGGCGTTGCTCCCTCCAGCAGGTGACCTGGCGACAGCCTCTCCCAAAAAGCCCCGGTTGACGCCACCGCCGGTAGCGGCAGCAGCTGCGGTAGTGACGTCGGCAACCGCAACGGAAGCACCGGGGAACTCAATAGGTGTACGGCTAACGGTACCGAGTACGGCATCAGCTGCAGCCAATCCGCAGGCCGGTGGCACGATCCGGCCCCGTCGGAGCCGATGGGGTGAGATGCCTCCGTCGGCGGCAGGAGAAGCAGCATCGACACCACCTGCATCAGCAGCCTATCCTCCTCCGCTGCCGCCGCCGATGCCGCTGACGGCGCCGGCGGCAACGGCAACGGCGCGGAGGTCGACACCTGCGGCGTCACCGTCACCTGGGGAGCCGATGGATCTAGAATCACCGCTGTTGCCACACGAACAGCAGCAGCAGCAGCAGGGTGCAATGGTTCAGGCACCGCCAGCGCCGCCACCGGAACCTGGGCCTGCTGGCGCCAGCCTGGAAGGTTGGGACGGTGACCCTCCTCCTGCTGCTGAGGGCTGCCGCACACCTGGCGAAGGGGCAGTGACGGCGGCGGCGGCGCCGCCGCCGCCGCCGCCGTCGCCAGGGGAAACACGGCCGCAGCGGCTCCCGTCTCCCCCGCCCCCGGAGCAAGGACTCGGGATCCAAACAAAGCCGAAGCAACAGCCGGCAGATAACTCCCAACAGCAGCAGCAGCAGCCTGGGGGGCATTCACGCGCGAGCCTGACATCTCCCGAGCCGGCCCAGCTCGCCAACGGCCCCGACGATCTGCACCTCGCCCCAGGACCTTTTTCCCCTAAACCGATTGCTGATGATGATCGACAACGCAACGTCGGAGCGGGCATGGTGGCACCTGTTGCGGCTGCCGCAGCTGGGGACGCGTCGGCAGCGGCGGCGTCGGTCGCGGGCGGAGGGGGAGGCGAGGAACATGCGGCTGCAGACGTGCGTATAGCAGCACCAGCACCAATAGCACAAGTTGAAGCGACCGCGACCGCAGAAGGATTAGCGTCAGCGTCAGAGCTGAGCCGTGACGTGACGTATCGGGACGTAGGGGCTGCAGCTGTCGCACTGCCTTTCAGTGCGGCGACGGCGATGACGGCGGCGGCGGTGGAGATCCCCCGGCCCGTGGGCGCGTCAGCCTCAATGACGGCCCCCGCAACCAGCGCCGAGGCAAACGCTGCCGCGCCGTCTCCGCCACCTGCTGCTGCTACTGCTGCAAGTCCATCAGCTAGGCAAGAAGCTGCAACTACAGCTGCTGTAGCAACGGGCCCACCTGCATCGGCGATGGCTGTAGCCGTTACGAAGGAAGCGGATGTGGCGGTTGGAAATACAGGCCTGGCGGCGTCATCTATATTGGCAGCGGCGACAGCAGCGGCGGCGGTGGCAGCTGGCCAACGGAACATCCCGGAGGCTTCACAGCCTCACGCCACTGACGCCGCCGCTGCAACACCTGCCGTAGCATCTCCCACCAGGGGCAGCCTGGCCGACCCGTCGGCGCCCAGCAGCGCTGTGACGTCCAGGGAGGGCTCCTGTGTGCCGGATGAGGAGGCTGGCAAGGAGACGCTACCGGGGGTACCTCCGCCTGGCGGCAGCAGCAGTAGCGGCGGTGGCGGCGGCGGAGCGCAAGAGCATACTACAGCGGGCGCGGGCGCGGCGGCGACCACGGATGCCTGGAAGTGGGCCAAGATTGCTGAGAAGCAGGAGCGACGCCGGAAGGAGGAAGTTGTGGTGAGGGGATGAACTGGGTATACACACATGTGGGGCGTAGGTGTGGTAACCAGTTTGGTGTGGGAAAACCCTAAAATCTGAACCGGTAAAGGCCCTGAATCCCCCCCCATACATAGGGTGTTGGTCTTTTATCGATTGGGATACCGCGTTGTCGGAGGTGCGAGGAATCGTGGGTTCTGTGGGCTTCCTTTGGTGTCGAAATTAACACGTCTCCAATTTTTGTATGTAGCTCATGTCGTTCGTACGGGAGTTAAGATGGTCGGGTGTACGGATGTAAAGCAAGTGATGTCAGCCTGCGGCAGAAGGAAAGAAGTCAGCAGTTGCGTGCAGCGAGGAGCCAGTTTGTGCCTCTGTATGCTTGTCTGTGGGCTCCAAGAATTGCATGTCAGGCATAGGGATGGCTGGCTTAGGTGTATGGCGATATGCATTGCTCCCCCTTGCCTGTTCACCACGTCCTCCTCGCGCTTTCCGCTTCAATTCCCGCCAGAAAGTCTACCACAAGTGGTTGAACAAGGCTATCACTCAAATGAAGGTGGGTGCGGGCCCCAATCAGACACTTCATTTAATCATTTTCCCGGTGACGAGAGAGTCAGCGCCCGGGTTGTGCGCTCTGTGTACAGTTCATTTTGGGCTATATAGCTGTGGCGAGTGGCATGGAAAGCCCTGCCTATGGATTTTTTTGTTTGTTTGTCAGTCAGTCTGTCTGTAGCCGTCGTCATACTACATTACACTTCACTATTTGCTTCTTTTCTGTCGGCGCTCGTGCGTCGCACCTCCTCTCGTCCCTCACGACCGCTACGCCGCTGCACTTGGCGTTATGTCCTCTCGCGCCAACGCCATTCAACAGTAGGACATATGTGCTGACTCTGCTGACCGCTGACTGCTGAGATAGTGTGGATCAACACCCCCCACGCGCGCTCGTGGCAAAGCGTCTGCCTTTTCTCCACTTCGTTGACATCCTCTTGAGGGTCCTCCTGTGTGGCTGTTACTGATCCTTGTCCTGCCCCTCATGCCGTCCTGCTCCTCCAATTTTCATTTTTTTGTGCTTGCAGAGCGGCCTGGACGATGCTTTCGTGCATGACCCACAAGACGTGAGTATGGCTAAAATATATGGATGTACGGGGCCGGGGTGGCGGGAGACGGGTGTGTGGGCTGTAAAAGTGTGTTTCTTCTCTGTGAGATGGTCTGTTCTGGTTGCCGACACCTTTTTCCAAAAGTTGCGCTTTCCAAAGTGTTATAAACCGTCGCCTTTTTCAGCTCTGTATTAACTTCATTCTGGCCCCTTGCCTTTTCCTCGTCGTCTTTGCGCTGTCCTTGGTTGGCACTTGTAGCTTCCGGACTACAAGACCCTTGTCAAGCGACCTATGTGGCTCAAGGAAATCCAGAAACGTCAGAAGAAGAAGCACTACACGCCGGATGACGAGGGCTTCAGACGTCTGGAAGAGGACTTCACGCTTATTGGCCGGAATGCCGTACACTACAACACTGAGTACCTGCGAGAACGGCAACGTCAGCAGGGCGTCAACGCGCTGATATCGCCGGTAGCAGCAGCAGCGGCGGCGGGAGCAGCAGCGGCAGGGGCGCCTTTGCCACCGGGCGCTGAGCTGGACGAGGAGTTGCGCGAGCACGATAACGTACGGCGGGAAGGCGAGGATCTGATACGCCGTACGGCGGAAGTTTTTGCAAACTGCCGGCGGGAGCTGCAGGATGAGGTGGCCAGAACGGGCAATGCGTACCGATCGGGGCGCTAGAGAGGCGCTTGGTGGCTGCGAAGTGGGGCGACGAAATGGGACACTCGTCGAAAGCGCCCGGTGTTACACGCCTGGGAAGGAGGAGCGCGCAGGTCTAGTTATTTGGGCCGCGGTTCGGTGTACTTCGACTGTTGCTGCCTTCATCGGTACTGGCGCGGGCATGCTGGGGCAGTATAGTATAGTAGCGTGATTTCAACTACCATGGTGCTGGTGCTGCTGGTGCTGGTGGTGTACATGCAGCGCGTTAAAGAGGCTTGCATGCGGTCTTGCATCCCTGCATTTAAGTAGAGAACGGCATTGTGCATTTGGAAGCGAAGGCGAAGGTAATGGTGCTGATGAGTTGGTGAGACAGCGCAGAGCTTTTTCGTTGCCCGCATCGCCCCCCGCATGCCGTCCTTGGAACCGTCATCTTCACCTCCTCGGGTGGTTTCTTCCCAAAGCCGCCGGCGTGGCCGGGTGTCTAAGAGCATGTTGCTCGCGCATCCCTTCACCGCAGCTTCCTATGGCGAACGGCTGGTGGCAAAACAAGTTTGAAGGAGGTCAGTGATAGGAGTTTCTGGAGGTAGTTGTCTTACCTTGGTAGCGTGTGCGTGTACGTACGCGTTACACCTCGGTTGCGTTACCCAGAGAGGTTGTTATGAGTTGCGGAGGCTGTGGTATAAACGTAGGCAGTAGCAGCAGCGAAAAAGGCTTTAGTAACTGAACCGCAATTGCGGCACGCCTCTTTCCCTGGAGCGACGGCGCTGTCCTATCGTCCTGTATTCCTTGTGCCTCTATTTTGCGATTGCGGGGGTTGCCTGTTTTGGAAACCGGAACACAATCATGCGGCTCAAGCTTTTGATCTAGTTCAATTCAAGTTCAGGACGGTTCGGCCGCAGCCCTTCTCTGCAGCTGTGGGGAGTTCGCGGCTAAGCGTGTGTTGGGCGTGGGCGGGCGGGGGGTAACGTGTGCGCGGTCCTCCAGGGGACGGAAGTCGCAGCTTTGGAAGGCCCTGGTTCCTCGCTCTTAATTAAAGAGATGTTGCAATCCTAACATTTATGTGTTCATGGCCTCACCGTGTTCATCTGTCTGTCTGCCTGTCCGTTTGTGCACCGCCATGTGTGTGTGTGTGTGTGTGTGTGCATTTGTTGTTGTGTTGGTCCACGCAACCTGGGGTTGTGTGCCTGCTGACCCAGATGGGTAATATTGGGGTTTTGGGTGCTACTCACGAGGGGTGGTTTTACAGTCACTGTCGTGGTGTCCTGTCCTTTCTTCTTCCAGTCCGTCGTGTCCTGCAGGAGCCGGCCCCTCATCGTTCTTTTTGGCAGCCGTACTTTTAAAGTAGAAGTACTACAGCGAGGCGCGTGGTGGCGCCTTGTCGCAGCTATGTGTTATTTTCCGATGTGTAATTTTCCATGTGTGTTTGTATGCGTGCGCTGGTTTTGGATTTCACTAACCTTGGAGCATTTTCATGTGTGGGGGATTAGGTGCCAGTGTTGGCAGGGTAATGTGATACTATAAGGCTGCTGTCTGCCTCCCGCACTGCCCCCGTCATTTCCCTTTCGAGGGAGAGGAGGGATGGAGGGAGGAATCTATGGAGGGTTGTATGAAGGGATTGAGGGATGCAGGGGGGATGTAGGGGGGGGAGGATATATGGAGGGCTGTATGGCCCAATCGGTAACCGGCCCTGCGACAGCCGGTACATGAGGATAGCACGGTAAGGCGATTGCGGCCATTTGCAGGCGGGTGCCTGGCAGAATTGGCAGGAGACATCTCTACACTACGCGCGCAGGAATCCCAACGAATGGCCCAACGGCGCTTCCACACCGCGGTTTTCGTTTCAATTGCACAAACAGACACGAGGATGGTGAAGTTTTGATGCCCGCATCTGGCAATAATGGGATGATGTGTGTACCTGTCAAGGAAGCGCAGCGGCTGCGCTTCGCAGTGCTCGCGCCACTTGTTTGCTTCCTGGTGAGCAGCTCGGCACACAGCTCCAAATGCACCGTGATTTACAAATGTCCACCTTTTAAAATCGGTCATGAACAGCTGTCGGCAGGGCTCTCCGAAGCCAAGCGTCGCGACATTCTCTAAGGACGGCGGCTCGAATGGTAGTTTGGGCGCGACATAAGACTCTCTTGAAATAGATATCAAAACTTCGACGTTATCAGTAAAAAAAACTGCCGAAATTCTGGTAGCCTGTGCGGGCCACAGCAGGCGCAGGGCTAGAAGATTGCGCCATAATCGCACGCTATAACCTTGTTCAAATGTTTCAGAATTTTATGAAAGGATAAAATTCCCGAAACGGTTCCCTCAGCCGCAATGTCGCAAACTAAATTTCGGTTGCACTACGACACTGGTCGAGGCAGTAATCTGTTCTGATCTGATGAAAAGTCTGGCGCAGGGGGCTATCTGTGGGTTACTGGGATCCAAGACTGTGCTAGCTGCATTATTTTTAAGTGCCGGCGGTGCTGAGAGTTGGTCTAGTAGTACATGGCCGGGGCATGAAGGGAAAGCCCTTCGTGCGGGGCGTGACGGGTAAGCAGTTGGTGCGGGGCGCGAAGAGAAAGCCTTAATGATGGATGCGGTGGGAAAGTATTCGTGTACACGTATTGGGTTTTTTTCCTCGGCTAGTGATGTTGGGAACGGCCGGGATGGGCAGCTGGTGCATATGTGTAACAACGCTCGGTCGTTGACACAGCTGGTTACGAAAAGTAGTTATCCACGTTAGTGGTGGTATTGATAAATACCGTTTGGTGTTGGAAAGATTATGAATAGTTCTTAGGTGTACCGTTGGTGCGATGACCGTTGGCCCGGTGAGCCAAGCTGCCCGACCACAAACGGTGAGCTTTGTCTGCATACTTGGCTTGGCGCTGCTTTGCGGCATCGAGGCACTTAGTGGCCAGTGTAACCCGTTGGGTGAGGCTGTCGGCGAGTTTGTCCGCCGCAGGATATTTGGACTGCTGCAGTGGCAGTCGTGATCGTGTGGCAGGGACATGGTGTGTCCGTAGATGATGTAGAACAGTGTTTGTCCGGTGGACTCGTTCTTGCTGTTGCTGATGGCTAATTCTGCCTTTGGCAGCCAGTCTTCCCATTCCGTTAGTTCGGGGCCCACGTAGTTATGCAGGACCTCCTGCAGCACACGGTTCGTGCGCTCGGTTTGACCATCCATTTGCGGATGGAAGGATGAGGACATGAAGACATGAGCTGTTTTACATCCAGTTGCTTGGCTGTGTTGCACATGGCTTGTGCCGTGAATCATGGGTCGCGATCTGAAAGGAGCGCAGTAATGCGTCCATGCTTGCAGATGATGTGGTTCACCAGCATCTTTGCGAGCTGATGGTGGTGAATTGGTCTGTCGTGGGCACCAGCGAGACCATCTTCGAGAACTTGTCTACAAAGATGCAGATGGCTGTGTTGCCTGAATGGGTTGGTGGTAGGCTGGTGATAAAGTCGCAGGAGACCACCTGCCATGGGCCCGTTGGGGTGGGCAGCGGTCGCAGTTTGCCTGCTGGCTTTTGGTTGTCGGGTTTGTTGTGTTGGCACTGCAGGCACTCGTGCACGTAGCGCTCGATGGCACTGTACATGCCGGGCCACCCAGAAGCGTTCAGCTACGGTGTGCAGTGTTCTGGCCATGCCGTGGTGTCTGGTGAGCAGTGTATCATGGTATGCATGTAGGATGTCTTTTCACAGTTGTGGGTCGTTGGGCACAATAATCTTGTTGCCTTTAAACCACATGCCGTCAGTGAAGGAGGCTGTGCCCCAGTCGGTGTCAGGTTCGGCCGGCGTCACCGCTCTTAGGCGGTCAGCCAGGGCTGGCTCCGTTGGAGGCTCATCAGTAGGCCTGCCGATATACATCATGGCTGCCACCACAGTTTCGGGTGTATGGATGCAAGAAAGGGGATCGGCAACATTCTTGCATCCCGGACGGTACTGCCATGTGTAGTGGAAGCGGCACAGGAACTCTTGCCGCGACACACTTGGCGTCGGGACAGGTCCTTTTTGGTTTCAAACCAGATGTTTGGATGGTGGTCGGTGACCAGCAGGAAGGTATCCTGTGCGGTCTCAAGGTATGGCTGCCACTCTTGTAGGGTGTTAATCGTACCCAGGAGCTCTTGCTCTGTGGTAGTGTAATTGATTTCTGCAGATGTGAACTTTTTGCTGGTGTATGCGACCGGGATGTCCATCCTGCAGCAGCACACCGCCTGTGCTGTAGATGCTCGTGTCAGTTACGACTTTGAAGGGCTTCATCAAATTGCCGCTTGCACATGCATTGCTTGTTAGCTTGGGCGCGACTAACAACATCACACAAGTGGCTTTGAAGCCTGTGTTAGGGTGAAAGGTGTAATAAGATCTGCACTGCAGCACGCAATAGGACTGCAAGCAAACTATGTGCTTGTTTTGCGAGTCTCTGTGTGTGCACCGCGACGCATGTTGTGTGGTATGGCCGTGCAGGCTGCTTGGCGGCGGGGTTGGGTTCTGCATGCTATGTAGCTGGTGGGTTGCTGCAGGGCTCGACGACTTCCTCCTTGCATCATCCTCGGCATGGTCCTGCTGCTGTTCTGTTGCTTTTCTCGCCCTCTGCCGCCATCCTTGTTCTTCCGCTTGTCCCAGCCATCGTCCTCTGTCGTGTCTGTGAGGTTGTGCTTGCTTAAATTCTCGCTTTGGTGGTCTCTTTACTGGCTGTCGTGGTGCTGCTTGCTGTCCTGTCGTCAGGGTCTGCTTGCTGCTGGCCTCCAGTCCTTGTAAGTGTCCTCACGGAAGAATTGCATGGACTCCAAACAACCTGCCCTCTCTGCTGCCCAATACCCGCGACTCCATTTGGCACCTTCCCTCGCCCTTTCTTTCACAGTGCCGCCGCCGGGTATGCCCTCGGGCATGCCGCCACCGGGGATGCCGTTGCCGGGCATGTAGCCCCCCGGCCAGTAAGGAGCCGGCAGCTGCTGTGGAGAGCAGCAGCTAGCGGTTGGGGACGGGATATGGCCCGATAGGAGTAGCAACTGGCATATGGTTCTCTACTAGGTTGCAGCTCTGGGATGTGGCTCGGCGCCGACCTGCAGCCGACGCCCGCCCTTGCACCATCACTGTGGTGGCTGTCAAGGACTGCGAACATGACATTCTTAAGTGCATGTTGGGATGGAGCCGGTCTGGAACATTTGTGGCTGTGCTGTGTGTTGGCGCCTCTCGTCTTGTTGCGTGTGGCCGGCGAGCTGGGGGGGGGCCAGGCAGAAGCTGCGGCAACGAGCAGCAGGACAGCTGCGCACACCCTTGTTCGCCAGGCCTGCCTGCGCATGCATGGTGCTGTCTAAACTTTCAAGGGGCCAACCGGCTGTGGCAGGCTGTGGCTGCTGAAACTAATGTTTGGGCGTTGGTATCCAGGTGGCCCGTTCAGGCGTATGGGAGAAGGCGCTACATGGAGCATGCACGAACTTCTGTGTTGGGGGACGCTAAGAGCGCTTGGGACGCTAAAACGCTGGAGATCAGATCTTTACTGAGGTGTGTTGCTTCCAGCCTTGCAAGCCTGCTACGCATTTGCGGCGGTCACAACTGTGTTCGCTTCATAGTGCTGCGACGAACACCGGAGACCGCGACCATCGGTCTGGAGCGTCGCCCCCGAGTGTCTGGTGGCAAAGCACAGGCTCCCGGCCGTACTTGCTGAGGACGGGCTGGATATGCCACTGTGCTGTGTATATCTAACGTGAACAATTGCCACTGTCACGGTTACGTATAGTGCACGATTGATCACCATGATACACATTGGGCGCATGTATGAGCCAATAGCAGCTGTATGATACAGGTAGGTGCGGTAAAGGGACTCTTATTCAGATAAGGTCCCAGCGTGCTGAAGTACGTAGGCTTCGGATCATCAAGTGTCAGTCAGCTTTATAGAGTTTTCCATAGTTTCCCAAAACTGCTTGAGGGCTGCTATAACGCTTCTGTTTACTGCTCACGTGGGCCAATGTGTTCGTCTAACATCGCCTGTAGAAATCGCAACAATGGGTCCCAAGAAGCGAACTTTTTTCTCAGGGGCGGCATTTGAGACTACGTATGCTGGCTGGCTGGCCAAAGGCCTTGATGCTAATGCTATACTGTTTAAAACGAGGAATCTGAAGCTGCCTTATGATGAGGTCATAGACACTATCTTCCCAAAAGTGTTCAAGGATGTCCTCATCGCAAGCGGGTGTGTAATCCAGCCTCCGAGCCAAGAGCGGCCCAAGTACATTATTTTCTGGGCGCTGCTCAAGAACCTGTTGTCATTTCAAGCACCGGACAAGCTATTCGGCGTCTTCGTTGGTGGACCACCGTCACCAGGTGACGATGAGGCAAGCGACGTGGGCGACGACGAAGATGACGAGGAAGATGACGTGGAAGATGGTGAGCACGGTATGTGGGTTGCACCCTTTCGGCACTCGCATCTTCGCATGTTGCGTACACGCCCCCGACCATGGTCCCCAGAGCCCAAAAGGGAACACACCCGGTCAGGAGTCGGCAGACTACGACGGGTCCCTGCACTGTTCGTCGGTCCAGATCTGCCTTGAAATCCCCGACCCTTCCATTCTGCCGCTGTTTGAGCTGCCGTACAGCCTTAGGACCGGTCGGCAGTAGCTTTTGCCATTTCTGCAACGGGCATAACGGAAGGACCCATCTGGTTTGCCGACACCTGCACCCGGTTGACCCTATCGTGTGTGCGTGTCATGTGTGTCGTGTGCACGTGTGCTGTATGCGGCATACCTCAGTTGATTGGAGCATGTTACAGTCAAGTATAATGCTCTGGACCGTTCTAAGACACGCAGCTGACCATACACCCAAGGCCATTGGCCATTGCTCTTGGGAGTGAGGCATCTGTCCCTACATGACTGTTCAAGTCCATTCATCTCGCTGCACGATATCTGCTGCTGCAGATATGTCCAAGTTTGTCCTCGTCCACTCCCGCCCTGACGAGATGTGGAAAGTGCGCTCCAACACCTTGATGGCAAGCGTTGTGTCCAAGCGTTGCACCCCCCTGCTCATCGTGGAGGTGAAGGCAGCTGTGGATGTCGAAAAGCACCTATGGCAGCCACTGGCTACTGCACTTGAGCTGGCGGAGGCAAGCGGCACAGAGGAGCCGGTGTGGGTGCTGCTCACGGACATGCAGAGGTGGCACTTTGCCAAGGTCCAGCGTGCGAGGCCACGGCCACAAACAAAGGAGCAGGGTGCAGCAGCAGCAGCAGCTGCACAGGCGCCAACTTCGGTTGTGCTGCAAGACCTAGCTGCCAGCCTGATGCGAGCCAAAGCGAGCTTGCATGTGTACTCCATACAGCTGTATGAGCATATCTATGCTGGCTTGACGACTTACAGCTCAGATTACTACAAGGTGTGTGGGATGAAGCGATAAGGATAGCATAAGGATGCGTGTGTGTCAGGGCACCAAATCCATGGAAAGACGCTGGTGAAACTCTGGGTATCAGTGTGGGGTCCATAGGACCTCGTGTGCGACCTTCCCTTTTCCTCTGCCAAACTTGCCTTATCCATACACTGATCTGTTGCTAAAGTGATCGTATCTTGTTACTTCACATCTGCGTGTATGCCATCCTCATTTCAAAGCTTTTATGTCATGATGCAATCCACCAAACACATTTTGCAGGTGAACATCAACCTTAAAAATTCTTTGCCTGCCCATTTCTGGTTGCGTATAATAAGTGCTGCCCCTCCCTGCGCCGCCACAGGTGCTGCAGCAGTTACTGAAGATCATGTACCCCGGCCTGCACCTGCGGGAGCTGCTAACACGCCAAGATGCTGGCCAGGAAGTGATCAACTCGCAGACAGAGAGCTGGGTCAAGCAGTCCCTGGCGAATGCCAAGGTGCGGTAGTTGCCTACAATCAATGCCAAGGCTATTGTGCTTTAGTGACTGCAGTGCTGCTCGATGCCAAGGCAGTTGTATGCCATGTCAGACAGTGGCAACTGTGTTCACTTCATTTTGTATAGCAGGCTGAGCTCCACTGGTGCGAGACGGGGCGCCTGCAGTCATACCATGATCTGATGCTGTGTGGTGTGTTCTCCTTTATTGTAGCAGTCGGTGCTGGCCTTGTACTTGTATACTGCGGATTGTGTGACCCGTGTTCAACAGCACTTTGCTGAAGTCACCTGCCTGGTGTCAAGGTTTAATGGGATGGTGATGTTGTTTAAAGTGTTTGGGTGCCTTCATCATGTGCTTGCCTCAGGAAATCGCTGACTTAGCTATGGCGGCGGTGGAAAACGAAGACTTAGCGGCGGAAAACGCAAAGCTGGCCGCAGCGGCGGCGGAGAATGAAGACTTAGCGGCGGAAAACGCAAAGCTGGCCACAGCACTAATGCAGGTGTGACAGGTGCTGCATGCACACGCTGTAAAACCGCAAAGCTGTGACAAGCACCGGTCGAATTAGCAGCTGCTGCTGGACTGCAGCATAGTGCCTGGTTTGCAGAACAAGTAGGGGGCAGGAGGTGGCAAACATTGATGCAGCTGGTGCTGCTGGGCCGCAGGATAGTGCCAACGGTGCAACGCTGCCAGCTGGTTGGAGGTGGCAGTGCTGGCTGTTTGCATCAAGGCGCTGCCAGGCTGCAGCATAGTGCCTGCGATGTGTGACGAGGGCTGGCTGGAGGTGGCAGCGCTGGTCTATTGTCCTTCTTTGTAGTAACAGTTGGTGCATGTATTGTCATACTGCAAATTGTGTGACCGTATTCGACACCACTATGCTGAAACGACCTCTCCCTGTGTAAAGACGGTCAAAGTAATGGTGATATTGTTAAAAGCATTTGGTGCCTTCATCATTGCTTGCCTCCCCAGAAAAACGCTGCATTGCGTACACAGCTGGCGTTGCAGGCGAGCACTGCAGGACAGCCATGCTGACACAATCACCAGCCCCTCAGCGGCTGCTACCCAGGTTGGCAGAACAAGTGGGGGCTGGTGGTGGCAAACACTGGCGCTGCTGGGCCGCAAGATAGTGCCGACGATGCAAGGCAGTGGGCTACCTGGAGGTGGCAGTGCCGGCTGGGTACATCAAGGTGCTGCTTGGCTGCAGTATAACGTCTGCGATGCATGACGAGGGCTGGCTGGAGGTGGCAGCGCCGGCTGGCGGCATCGAATGCGCTGATAGTGCTGGTGGCGTGGCAGGCCTGGCTAACAAAACCGGCAATGGCCCACTGCAGTTTAGAGCCTGTCGTGTTGGACACAAGGGCTGGCTGCTGGTACCAGCACCTGCTGGGTTGCAGCATTCCACGGCTAGTGCCGAGGAGGGCTGGTGATAGTAGGCACCTGCCGTTTGGACCATTGTGCTGGCGGTGCAGTACAAGGGCTGGCTGGCAGTGACAGCACTGGGTTGCTTTGGCAGCAAAGGCTTGCTGCAGTGTAGTGCCAGCAGTGTGGGACCAGAGCTCGGTTGCAGTAGTACTGGCCGGCTGCAGCATGGCACTGCTTGGCTGCAGTATACCACCGATGTTTGTTGTATGATGGCCGGTTGGTCATGTCAGCACAGAGCTGTTGCAGCAAGTGCTGCTGGGATGAAGCATGTCTGTGGGCGAGGGCTGGCTGTCGGTGATTGCAGGCAGCACGGCGCTACTGGGCCTCAGCATGGTTCACGCGAGCAGTAAATGGGCTATAGCAGTCTCCATGCTCGGGGTATGTCTGGGTGGGGCCTAGGTAGGGTTACCGAGGAGCTACGGGCCTTTACCCTACCGATGGGCTACCCTACCAATCGGTTACCGACCGGGACAAAACACGGTTGACCGTAATGGAATGTCATGGAAAGGTCCTAACCATGCATAAGAAGTGCCTTGTCTACACCTGGTTCAGTGAAGCGACCAGACCTGCCTGCTGAGCTGCTGCATGCTATTGTGCTGGCTGGTGCACGCTGACAGATGAAAAAATCTTAAAGAGACTGCCCACGCATACATCCTTATCTGATTTAACATACGCTGTACAGAGGTTAGTTTTTAAAACTTGGACAAAGTACACAGAAGCAGTTTTAGGATCCACTGCTGGTCATTTACCTTGAGAACTGACGAGCATCCCTAACTAGCCATGCTTACCGGATGCGACTCGGCTCAGAAGTAGTCTTAATGAAGAGATACATAATATTTTTGAAACCTATGCAATTTTGTGGCTGCAACTTGCTGTGAATGGAAAATACGCTAGACCATGTCCGCACGGAAATTCGCGTCCTGGAAAAAACAACTATAAAATATAAAGGTTGGCTTTTATGGAATCGGTTGTTATGTATGCCGCTGCAAGCCTGCTGCTGGTCGATGGTTGGGAGGCGGTTGCTCCTCCTGGCATTTGTCGCCATGTGTCTTTTTTCGGGTTATCCTTGCTTGTCACCAGTAACTCACCAAATCGGTAACCCCACCAAACTGGTCGGTAATGATCGCTTCGGTACCTGGCCGGTAGGGTAACCGACATAACGAGCTCACGACCCAGTAACTGGGGGTTCACCGACTGATAAGGATATCAGTAAGTTAAGGTCGGTAAGGTAACCCAACTAGTTGTAATACGGAAGACGCCGAGCTAATCCATTAAAAGAGAGGAAGCTGGCTTGAGCTTAAGGGATATCCAAACAGCTGGACATCCAACGCTGAGGGCAACCACCGATCAGCAGCTGCTCTGCGTGCAAGCGGCGAAGTGTGTGGCCACGGGTGAGCCACAGTAACCATTAAAAACAAGGCGCCAGTCGTTTATGGGTGCTGGGGATTTTGTGGTGCGTCCGGGAGCGAGCGCCAGCGGACGACGGCGTTGGCGTTGCTGTGGATGTCATCCAATTTCACGTGCATGAAAGCTACACATGTGTACCCAAGGTTCCAAATTTGCGCGCAGAGCTGCAGATATGTTGCGTAGGCCTCAGATAATGCTTCCAGTTTCGAATGGCACTCGATGGAACATGCGCAAAGCCTTTTGCATAGTTTTGGACAAGCACATTGCACATATCATCCTACAGTCTTCACTGTTGAAGTTAGCTGGAAGAGTGATAGACAGATGTACGAATGTTTAAATAATCCGTTACTGCTTTAGCCCTATCCGCAAGAATATGTTTTCAGTGTTTTCGAAAGAGCATGGTACTGAGAGCATGCAAATTCTGGATTACGGACATCGAGGACAGCTCGCCCACCCAAGATTACTTGACCGGAAAACATGTATTTACTATTGTTGGATTAATGCATTTCAGAATCCGGAACTTATGCCATAACAAAACTAGCGTAGGGCAAACTTTCCTGCTGATAGAAACGCTGCTGAAGATAATTCCGTGCGCGTTCCAGGACGAATAGCACAGACAATGCCATTAGCGCCAGGTAATCTAATAACTATTTGAAAGCGGCTCTGGTGAACCGGCTGGCGCAACTTGGAAGGTCAACGGCAGCCACATTCCTTGACGTGCAGAATGGCAGCATCCGTTTGTGAACGTCTTCAAAATATGCGACGTGGATACCATGAAGGAGTTCGAGACGAAGGGGGACGTTACGGAGCATATGGTTCGTGCCGAAGCCCTGGCATGTCAGCAGCGCCTGCCGTCGGCATGCTCATGGGTATACGAACCCTTTCCCTCACAGGATAAAATTATCGGCAAGAAAGTTTTCAAAGTTCATGGTGTTATACCGGCTGGAAACTACTTGCGCGTGCCACGCTCCAAACTGCAGAGCCTGGGGTTGACGGGCCGTATCTTGTACATACAGGTGCGGACGGCAGTAACACGCCGGGAACTATAAAAAGGCGCACAGGCACAGGCACATGAAAATATGCCCTATGCTTAATATGCTTTTTCCCACTTTGTTGGCCTGGATCCTGGGTTCCGGATCTGGGTCAGATCCCCAGAGCACGTCCCCATGCTTAAAAACCAGAACAGTCTGGAATCACGCGTCTCGCACGACGGTCATCAGCCTTACGAGCTTCGCTGTCAAACGCATGCCCCATCCTTCATCAGTCACATCACATTCGCACTCCCTTCTCCTCCCCACACGTGTGGAACCTGCTGCTGCCTACCTGCACCCCCAACCCATCCACACACACACACACACAACCACACACAACCACACACAACCACACACAACCACACACAACCACACACAACCACACACAACCACACACAACCACACACAACCACACACAACCACACACAACCACACACAACCACACACACACACCTTTCTTTTGTAAGCCTTTCTCGGCCTGGGCAGCCACTTCAGCACATAGACACACGCAATGGGCTATTAATTTTCCTTACAAAAACTAGATAAGAGCAGTTTCTTGGTGTGCTGTGCTGCTGCCAGTTGCTCAAGAGACACGCGACACAGCAAAAGCTGGGGCGCACCATTGCAACCCATGGGTAGGGTAGTCTACCTGGTTACCATCAAGTACAGAGGGGGTGGTGATATGCCGTCGGGGAAGGAGGAGCCCCTGAGAGCCTGGCGCAAACCTGTTGACCGCCGGATGATATTGGCTGTAGCCCGGGCTGCATTGCATCGCTAACAAGTTCCGCACAAGTTCCGCACACAAGTGCGGGTGTGTCCGTAAAAGCCCGGGGGCCCATGGACGTGGCTAACAACGCGGCACATGCGAAGAACAGACCAACAAATATACGGCAAACCCACACACGAAGCAGTGTCGCTTACGGGCCTACCTAACACGAATATAAAAATGTACATTTGAAAAATCAACCCGTGACTTCACCCACGCCTACACCCGTCCAGCACTAACGCTAACACCTACAACCACCACCTGCAGATGTTGCATTCGTGCCGCCTTTCGGTGTCTTGATGCTTTGGGTCGGAGCTTTAAGGGCACCTCCTGGCCCCCTGCCTGCTTTCCCCCGCCCCCCCCCCATACACACATTCCCCTCCCCCTCACACACGCACATACCCCTACAGCTCAAAGCCACGCCCATCAAGGTGTTCGTCATTCACATCGAGGCGGTCACCGAGGACCAGAACGTCCACCGAGTGTCCATCAGCAACATGTACTCCCAGGATGCGCTCAAGGTAAGATAGAGGATAGTGCTTTCAAGAAAGAGGACTTCATTTCAAGGGACAGGACGGGGGAAAGGGGAGGGGAGGTTTAAGACCAACCACTGGCGAATGGAGCAGATACCAAAGATAGACGATTAGTCCAGGAGAAGATGAATGCGGCAGGGAGAAAGGGGAAAAGGGAGGGGACAGGAAGGGAGGGGACATCGTATCTGTACTCCCGACAAAGGTGAAACGTGAGACGATACGCACATGCAAGGCAGCTAGACGGAAGACTGGAGAGCTCCGCCGCGGCTGGAGCGGCCACGAGGCCTACGGACACCGACCGGCTTGCTGCTGGTCTACGGTATGCCAGGATGCTGTTGTTTTGCGTAGGCTAGATACTAGTGCTACTACTGCTGCTACTGCTACTGTTGCTACCGTTGCTACTGCTACTACTGCTACCGCTGCTATTACTGCTACTGCCATTGGTTGGACCTCCGGAATGACGGACGGACAGAGGGGCGTAACCAGCAGTGTGACGTGCTGTGGCCGCTCCTGCCGCCGCCACCGCCGCTGACCCCGCCGCCATAAAACCGCTTCGCTTCGTCATGCCCCACGAAATCCCGCCCCACGTCACCGCGAGAAACTGGCCCTCGCCCCGCTGCACCACCACGACCACCACATCACCACTACCACCACACCACAAACATCACAACTACCACGACCACGACCGCCACATCCTCCGCTGCACAGCGCAAGTCCAACGGCGTGCAGCTGGCCTTTCCGGGCGCCAGCCACCGCTGGTGCGTGCTGGCGGTGGACATGCGTGCAGCGCTGCGTGGTTTCACATCTTCCAGATTTGCATCCATCAAGTCCATCCAGATGTGCTCCTGGCTGACTGTGAGAACCATGTTCAGCTCCGACTATAAATTCAATCTGGAGGTACGAGGTGTGCGGGGGTAGGTGGGTGCGAGGAAGCTGGCCTGGTCGGCTTTTGGGGGTGGGGAAAGCGAGGAAGAGGAAGGCATGAACGCAAGCCTGGGGGGGTCCAATGGGCGCATCACCTTGGCGGGTTCAGAGGTGCCGGATGGAGGGGAAGGCAGAGATGGGCTGGGCTTGGGGTTGTTGGGGCGTGGTTGGGGCGTGGGGCGTGGTGTGTTTTGTGGGTGGGGTGAAGTAGAGGAGATGTGCGCGGATGAAAGCTTATGGCTGGTGTGCTACTACGCGCGTGCGGAAGGAAGGAACTGGTGCTTACCAGAGCACTGTACCCACCGGAGGGAATGGATGGAAAGGGTAGGTGCAGGGGGCCGGGCGGTGTTTTCATTTGGGAAATGAAGCCAGGTGGAGAAGGCACCAGCCAAACAAAGACCCATTGTGTCATGTCGCGGTAAGGTGGTTGAGAAGAACAGGAACCCACGTTGGACACGAAATCAAACTCTATTTTAAAACATAAACTACCTCTTAGAAGCTTGAAGGTACGAAGAGCAGATACGAAGAGCAGAGATATTGCGGCAGAGAAGTGGAAGAGGGTGAGATCAAGAGATCTGGGTCAGCTCACGATTCTCCGCAATGTCAACAGAAGGCGTCAGCTCAAGCGCATGCGATCAAGATGCGCCCTGGTCTTCAGAGGCTGGTGCGGGGCTCTCGGGAGGTGGACGAATGAAGCCGAGCACGACCCGCACTCAGGACATTTAGTGTACAAGGATATATGTTATTGATTTGTCAGCCTGCCCGTTCTTGCCCTTGGCTGAAAACACATTTTGGCATCACCCCCATCCCGGTCCGTCCCCATACCCGGCCATACCTGTGCTTCTGGGGACCATATCCCACCCGCGCTCTTAAAATCTCTCCGTCATCCGCCCCGCTCCCCTCTCTCACTGCTCCCGTCTCTTCCCTCACTCCCCCTCCTCCCCGTCTGTGGTTCGTCTTTCCCTCTCCCCTCTCTCCCTCCCCTCCCTCTCGCCCTCTCTCTCTCCCCCCCATCACACGCTCAGAACCTGCCGGGCGATATGGCGCTGTCACACGCGCTGGATACGGGCCTGTTCGAGATGGTGTGGCTGCCCAAGGAGCCCTCAGACGCGCCCACCCTGGACATGACGTGAGCAGGGTTTGGGGTTCGGAGTTTTACTCCCTTGCCGTGCAAGGCAGGTTCAACACCTCACCCCCACCCGCAACCCACCCCCCCGGCGGCGGCCTCCCTTCCAGAACACCCGCCGCTCATTTCTGTTTTTTCCTCGCATGTGATCCCCCCGCCGCCTGTTGGCCCTCACATTCCTTGTCCTTAGGGTTCCCGCCTGGGTGGGGAGCAAAGCACTTTGAAGAAGAGATCTCTTTCCAATCCATAGGTTTGGGATTATTCTCGTGACTTAAGGCAGATTTGGAGTCCTTGTTGTTTTATGATTTCTATACATGTAGACAAGTGTATATTAATGGGCTTCATAGTCCTGTTTTTATAGTAGTTCTGATGGCCCTGGTAAGGTACGGGGATTACATGGAGCTCCTCATGGAATTACGAATTACGATTGCTTGGGGTAAGGGATCCAATATGGTGAGAGACATGCATGGTGTATGGGTCAGGGTGGCCGGCAGGGGGCAGGGGGGTGGGGCAGAGGGTCCGGATAATTGAGGTTTACCGGAACCAGCATGGATGTGCCCCAGCACACACAGACACACAGACAGACAGACACGTGGGCGACCCAACTGCGACAGGCCACCCCCCAAGCGCATCGCCGGGAAACGTCGACCCGCGGGGGCCGTGAGGACCAGCCCACCCGCGAGTGGCGGGGCCCCCGCCGCCAAAGGCTCCTCCGTTGCATCAGCTCACGCCGGGGGCAAGGGCTCAGCGCCGGGCAGCAGCGCCACCGGCGCCACTGCAGCCGTCGGCAGCGGCGGCGCAAGCGGCCGCGGCAGCAAAGCCGTACAGGACGACTACGACAATGACCAGGAAAGTGCCGGCTATGCAAGCTCTGACAATGAGAGGGCTGCGCAGCCTCGACATCCGCCGTCGCCGCTGCGGCCACCGCTGTCGCCCATCTCCGCTGCCAATGCCATTCGGGGAGCCACTGCCGCCAACCTAGCGTCCATGACGGCGGCCGCTACCATCGTCGGCGCCGCTGCCGTACCGCACCGCCCCGGTGACCCCGATGGAGCCGGCTCTGGCGGCGGCTTTCCGCGCCGTACACCCGCCATCGCCACTCCGCCGAGCGCAGGTGCGGCGGCGGCGCCGCCGCGCCGTCCCGTCATTGCCTCCGCAGCGGCCGCGCTTGGTATTGAAGCCGCGCTTCAGGGCCCGTCGCTGAGCCCAGACCCGGCGTTATCGCTCGTCCGCGTCAACGCCTATTCGGGCGAGTTCGTGCGTTGCCTAGTTTGGATCCCTGGGAGTGACGAAGTCGCCTTTGCGGCCGCTAGTGTCGTAATCATGATGAGCATTGTCGACGTGCCGCCGCCGCCTGCGGCGGTAACGGCAGCGGCCGTGCCCGGCTCTCCGGCGGCTGCGGCGCAGTTGCAGCGGCTGCAGCAGGCGCCCGGGCGGCAGCGGTACCTGCTGGGTCACACGGCATTCGTGTGTGCGCTGGCGGCCAGCAGCAATGGGGAGCTGTTGGCGAGCGCGCAGGAGGGCAAAGAGGCGGTGGTGCGGCTGTGGGATGTGGCGAACTGCACCTGCCTGGCCATACTCAACGGTGGGCCCAAGGGGCCGCAGCAACTAAGTTGCCACGAAAGGGGGCCACACAAGAGAGGACGCGCTTAACATAGAGCTCATAATTCCTACCATAAAAAATTACTACATACATTGCATACATACACAAACACCGGTATATTGCCGGTACATTGCCAGCCGCTCATACTTACAACAGCACTGCCTAGGCATTGCTACCGCCTCCTAGGCATCTTGGTTGTGGCAATATAAAGCAACGTTCAATCTCGCACGAGAAATCCGTGCAAGAGCGTAGAGATATCTACCCACCCACCTACCCCAGCCCAGCCCAGCCCCACGCACCCGTGCACACCCACACGTATTCGCATTCGCATTCGCATTCCTACCCCCCTTACCACACCACACCACAGCCCACACCAGCGGCCTCAGCTGCGTGGACATCTCCCCGGATGTGCGTGCGGTGGCCGCTGTGGGACTGGACTCACACGCCCGCCAGACCATCGCGCTGTGGAACATCTCAAACATGCGCAACCCGCACCGTAAGGTGGGAACAGGGACATCAAACGGAAATCTGTGGAAGAAAGGGAAGCGGAAGGGAAGAGAAAGGGAAGAGAGTGAAGTCAGGGGGGAAGAGACAAAATGGGGAAGAAAGGGAAAAGGGGATGTAGTAGGGAAGAGAAAAGGTGGGGAGCGAGAGGATGAAGGATATGCGTTGGTCGGCAGTGTGCCAGTGCCAGGTGTATGTAGGTAGGAAGTAGATGGGGAAGGAGAGGAGGGAGGCGAGTAGCGCTGGGTTGAAGTTACATGAGAGAACCGCGGGGGGGCATCATTATCGGAGTTACGCAGCTCCTAGTCCCCGACGTATTGCTTAATTATTATTGTTGCTCTTGCCGCAGATCGAACTGGTGACCCGCCACGCAACGGAATACAACATCAAGGTGCTCCGCTTCAGCGCCTACCAGGTGAGCCCGGTACCGGCGGCCCTCTCTGCTGGCCCTCATTCAGCGGGCCGCCTCTCTCACCCCCCATCCCGTCCCTTTCCCGTTGCGTTGCGTTGCACCATGCCCGCCACCGCCTGCGCCTCCCCACTCATGCGACCCCCGCCCCAGCCTTGGTCTTGGTCTTGGGTTGTGACCCTGTGTGATGTCTCTACGTCTCGACATGTTTCGAATGTGGCGTCTCTACAAATGTATACGTCATCCGCATGTGTACGTCATTTACACATGTATACGTCATCTGACGACGGCTGTACCTGGACATAACCTTTTCATCGCGTGTAGTAACGGCTGGGTGTAGGAATTGCACTCAACGGGCACGTGTGACGGTTGGCGATAAGTCTCGATACGTCTCATAGACATAGACATAGACATATGTGTGTATATCATGGCCAAACACGAGTCTTCAAACCGCCTGCAGGAGGACCATCTGCTGACTGCTGGTAGGGACAGTATCCGCATCTACCGGCTCAAGGGCGGGCAGCTGAGGGGCACCTCCGTGCGACTGGTGCCCACCAACAAGCGGGTAATGAATAAGGAAAGGGGGGAGGGAGGCGCCAGGGGGTCTCGAGGGCTGGATCGGATTGGGGAGGGTGCGGGGTTTGGGGTGGGCACGATGGGACGTGGGGTTGCGCCAGGGTAACGAGGGGGGATGGGGCGGTTGGGACGAGGGGGGCTTCTTCCCGGGGAAACAGTGTGGGGCGACATGGGGCCGCGGGAAGGGGCAGGTCGAGGAGATGCGGCCTTTAACCAGCGGATGCGGATGCGGATGGGAGGTCAGCCGCCGTCATCAGCGTTGCCATCATTGTCATTATCAATATCAGTAAAATCATCGCCGGCATCATAGTTGTGTGTGTGGCGTGCATCAAACTGTGGAGGGCGAATGCATGGCATCTAAAGCGCGCCCATGGAAGGTGCAGCAGAAGGGTTTTAACCTTTAGGTACCTTTGCAATCCTCCTATCCTCATTTCCTCCTACGGGTCATGATACTTCCGCCGCCGTGTCAGCCATAACCCAGCCGCAACTCCCCGCTCCCCCAACAACACACACACCGCCCGCTGCAGGTGACCAGCCACGCGGGCGGCGTGTCCGCGGCATTGGGCCCCAACATCTTCACGGACATCGCCTTCGAAGCAGGCGTGGGCGTGTATGGAGTGGACGCGTTCAAGGTACCCGCGGCGCCCGATGGGAGATGTCCATGGACGTATAGCTTATCCTCCATCCGCCCTCCAGTCCATACCCTTTGCATGTCTGGGGGGCATAACACGCCCCCTTACCCCCTCGCGCTTCTCCACCCAACAATACACGCATACACGCATCTTCAAACAATCCACAGCTGCTCCTACTACTTCATTACTGGACTACAACTTGTGTTCGGTACAGTTCTGCATGTTGCGACTCCTTCAAGCTTGTTACGATGTACTTCTCGCGGCTCAGTTCATGCAAACACACATACAGATACACATATGCACATGCAACATTTTGCCATTTCCCTCATCGCGGCGCAGATCATTTCAGATCAACACGCATACATACATACGCATACATACATACGCATACATACATACACGCCGGCAGGGTGGCGGTGTCGCGCCACTAAACCGTCCTTATGTCTTTGTGTTCCAAACCTACAATGACCTGAAAACTAACGCCGACGAATCCGCCTCGGTTGGCTGGGAACCTCCCTTGAGATGTCACGAGGGTCAGAATGATGTATCCCGGCGGTTTGAGCAACTCCCGAATCCAATCACAACTTTACATGTCGGCAGTGGAATGCTTGCTCTTCGCATCATGTGATTCCCATTGATTCGTGCAACCCGCCGCTCCCCCCTGATGCTGTTTTATCCCCCCCATCTCTGTCCAACTTTCTCGCTTATGTTCTGGGCCCCCCTTTTCTCCGTCTTCTGCTGCATCACATATCACATATCCCTTCGCACATCACATTGCATCCTTCGCATCATCGCAGGTGTACGTGTCATCTGCCTCCGGCGCGGTGTTCCAGGTGGACTACACCACCCGCAACCTGGACTGCATCTACCAGCTGCACGCCTCAGCCATCAACTGCCTGCTGGTGGCGGACGGGCTGGCCATCACTGGAGGCGATGACCGCCTGCTGAGGGCGTGGCCACTGGACTTTAAGGACTACCTGTTGGAGGTGAGGAGGAGGAGGTCAGGAAGAGGAGGAGGAGGTCATATCGCCGGATGGCGGAGGGGAGCGGGAAGTGTTGTTCTTAGGGGAGGGGGAGAAAGCTTAGAGGAGGGATGAAGGCAGCTTAATTCCCGCGCGGCTCGAGCGGCAGATTCCAGCTGTTCAGGGATATACGAAAATGAAGGGAGTAACGCATAAGGCCTATTTAGACAAGAGTGGAAAGCGAAAGGGGGTTCCTCTTAAGTGCGTGTTGGATCCTCTGGCAGGAGGGGCTCTCTGCTAAGTGGTAACTCCTTGCATCAACCCCCACCATCACCCACACCGCAGCATTATTGGCCCTCACCCAACATCTCCCCTGCATAACACCTCCCCTGCCTAACATCTCCCCTGCCTAGCATCTCCCCCGCCTAACGCCTCCCCTGCCTAACGCGACGCGTCATATTTTCCCTCACCCCTGTGGGGCTCTTGTCATCAGGCCGAGCACGAGGGCTCCGTGACGGGTCTGGCGCTGTCGCCTGACGCCCTGCGGGTGGCCATCGGCACGGAGACGGGGGCCCTGGGCTGTCTGCACATCCCCGACCACTCCTACATGACGTTGCTCAGGTCGCACTCGGGGTCCGTCAATGCGGTCGCGGTGGACCCCAACAGGTGTGTGTGGGAGGGTGTGGCAGGGTGTGGCAGGGCGTGGGAGGGTGTGGCAGGGCGTGGGAGGGTGTGGCAGGGCGTGGGAGGGTGTGGCAGGGCGTGGGAGGGTGTGGGAGGGCGTGGGAGGGTGTGTGGGAGGGCGTGAGAGACGCGGGCCATGGTGGGCAGGCAAGAATCAATCAGCACCGCACACACGTCTGTGCATTTGTGTGTGTATTTGGCCGACCCGAGCCGCGGGCGGGAACTGGCAAGAGTATGGCGCCCGAGTGCCTTCTGTGTGTCTTCACATGCTCCGAAACCAACCCCCACCTCAGGGATCACTTTTGCACGGTCTCTACGGACGGCACTCTGCGTATCTGGCACCTGCTCACCTACCAACAGCTGTACGAGTTCGACGCACCTGGGGAGGCGGTCACGTGCGTGGCCTACCACCCGCTATCCGCACACCACGAGCTGGCGGCGGGGTTTGCCAACGGCCGAGTGCGCGTGTTCGACGTGGGGACAACCGCACTCATCCAGGTGGGTGATTGGCTGGCTGGCTGGGTGGGTGGGTGGTTGACCGGCACGTTGGCTGTGAGCGGGTGAGATGAGTTAGGCCACTGACTTGAGAACAGCTTGAGCTCGGCGGACTGAACGTCCCCTAATCTGAGGTGAAATGGTTTGAGCTCGATTTACGTAAGGATTTGGGCTTTAATGAGTCGACTCAAGTCCTTAAGGTCAACTGGGTGGAAGTTAGGTGTGAGGTTACACGGCACTTTCGCCAAGCTTAGGTAAGGTTTTCAGTTTTCAACAACTTTAGAGCGCACGTGAATGAGAGCAATATGTTGCGGGCGGCAGCCTGGGAGCGCCTTTTTTTTGCGAGTCGGCTCACCTTGCCATTTCATCCATCCAATTCTCACCCCCATCGCACCTGAAACCCCCCACCATCCCCCCTCACCCCCCCCACCCCACACACACCCCACACACACGCACACGCACACACACACACATACACACACACACACGCACACGCACACACACACATACACACACACCTGCTACCCTTCCAAACATCCCCCAATCCCTCTCCTTACAGGAGCAGCAGCAACACCGTGCGGCAGTAGCGGAACTGGTGTTCACCCCCTCCGGCGACAGGCTGTTTAGCGGCGGTATGGACGGCGCGCTCGTTATGTACGACGTACAACGGCTGTACGCGCCGACGCAGTACCTGTCAGCCGGTGTACGGGACATCAAGGTATCCCACCGTACATCACCGTACCACACGACATCATAACTTTTGACACGAGTACTACTTTTAAATGTATTCAGAACCCTTTGTATATGTGCTGGTCGAACCTTCCCGGCCCTGCTAAACACACCACCGAACCCAGACTCGTTTTTCCTTTTTCCCTCACAAGCCAAAAGTGACCCACCCGGCAAGCATTTCCACACCCCGATCCTCCACCTTTTACCAGGTCCTCTTACCCATGCAACGGAAAACGAAAACCGACACCACTAAAACCGAAATCCCTAAAACCACTAATACCACTAAAACCGAAACCACACTTTGAAACCGAGAAAATGTTCTCCTAACCCTCGCCAGGTGTGTGTGGCCGTGAGCCCCGACGGCGCCTACTTCGCCAGTCTCATCCGGGACCCCTACCGCGGCATTACCTCGCTGTTGGTGTTTCACGGCCGCTCCCTGGAGCCCTTCATGCGGATTGAGACAGACGCAGAGGCCTACGTCAAGTAAGCCTCGGTGGCGCGGGTGGAAAGGTGTAGTAGCTGGTACGCAGTACGGCACCGTGAACAACTACAAATACGCGCGAAGCGCTTTACCGCTTTAGCTCGAGAGGCCTTTTCCGCGGCGGCCAGCTACTACAAAAGGGGCCACATTGAGGGAGGTGGCTGGGGTGCACGTGGGTTCCCGCGCAATATGAGCCTCCGCTCACTTCAGTCATGCACCAATGCGACACGTCACGTCGAGACAGATGCAGGTTCCTCCTCACGTGTTGATCCATGTTTGAAGGATCTGCACACAGGTCGCCAATGCCTCACGTGCCGCATACCTCAAAACCACTAAGCGCTGTGTACAAAAGCTTTGTATGTATGTATGGATGTCTGGGTGTATGGATAGATGATTGTATGCATGGATGCATGCTGAGGGAAACACCACAGCTTTTCCCGCCCTGAGCCCCGCACCCACCCTCCTTGTGTTTCGCGCCTCGCGCATATCACACGTAACAACACACATTTGCTGTTGCCATTGAGCGATGAGCTTCCTTCTGATCCAACAAACGTTGCCCTCCCTCCCATCCGCCCCTGCATTCCTCACTGCCCCTTTATCCTCCACCCTAAATTTCCCAGACTGGCCTTCAGCCCCGACTCCAAGGAGCTGTGGGCCCTGGCCTCCAGCCGCCGATTGGACCGCTACGAGCTAACTGACGGCAACCTGTTGCAGCAGATCCTGGACGTGTCACCCCTGGAGCTCACCACGCTGGCCGCCGACCCGGCGGGTCGCTATGTGCTGACGGCCGGCGTGGACGGGCTGTTGCGGCTGTGGGCGTGTGTACCGGCGGCGGCGCTGCAGCCGCGCAGCTTGCCGCCACACCAGGCGTTTGTGGGCCATCCCAGCTCGGTGCTAGGCGAGTGGGAAAGGGGGTAACGGGCGGGCCGGTCAGGAGTCATGGCTTTCGTTTCTGTATTAGGAGCGATGATATTGCTTATGTTTATACGCGTGGCGAGCGAGTAGAACGCGAGCACACGTGCGAGACTCTTGCATACATGACTGTGTTTTTCTTAATTGTAAAGCTGGGCCACCGAATAACTTAGCGCATGTGCGTGTGTGTACGTGTGGTGCGTGTGCGTGTACGTGTACGTGTGTTTTGTGTTTTCAGGAGCTGCTTTCCACCGCGGCCACCTCATCACCGTCGGCGACGCTGATTACTTATGCGTCTGGCGCGTCAACGCCGATGCCCTGCAGCAGCAGCAGTACAACTGGCAGCACCCCGCTCTGGCGCAGGCAGCACGCGCCGCCGCAGCGCTGCGTGCCGCCGTGCTGCCGGCGGCGCTTCGCCCGCCAGACGACGAGCCCGCCGCCGCTGCCGCAACGGCCGCCGCCCTCAACGACCCGCACCACCCCCTCTCCCGCGCTTCCCCGTGGACGGCGCTGGGACCAGTAGCAGATGCCACCGACCACCACCTCACCACGCGTGCCGCCGCGCTCGGCGCCATTCCGCTGCCGCCGGGCACCCTCCTGGTCCCTGCACCCTCGGCGCGGATAGCGTGGCCGGAAGCCACGTCGTCGCAGTCGGCTACCTCGGCAACCGCGGCAACCGCGGGAACCGCGGGAACAGCATTCAACGCCGCTGCCGCTGCGCTGGCAGCGTCGGCGGTGCGTGTGGCCAGCCCTGGCCCGCAGCTGTCCCCGAGGCCTACGTCCGCGCAGCCACCGTACGGCGGTGGTGGCGGCGGCGGCGGCGGCGGCGGGGGCGGCGGAAGCTACCTGACGGCGCAGCATCAGACGCAGACGTTGTCGTCATCAGCAGGCTCGCTTTCCACGGGGCTTACAACATCACCCAGGGCGGGAGGAGGAGGATCCAGGCCTTCTCCAACGAGGACGCTGCCGTCGCCGCAGCCGCCACAGCCGCCCCCCAAATGTTCGTGGCTGCTGGGCTACACCCCCACCGGCTGTAGCAATGTATCTTGGCGCTCCGAAACCGGCGTCTTTGCGTACGTCGTGGAGGATATGGTAGTCCTTGAGCACCTCGCAACGCGGCGGCAACGCTACCTGCGCGGCCATACGCAACCATTGTCGTGCCTGGCGGTGTCGTACGACGGCAGGGCGTTGGCAGCGGCGCCGCTGGCGCCGGAGCTGTACGCAGTGGAGCCGTCGTCATCGGAGGCGGTCTTGGCGGTGCCTTGCCTGACGGCACCGTTCGCTGATGTGGTGGTATGGGACGTGGCCAGTGGGGCCGAGAGGTGGCGGCTCCGATACCACACGCAGGCCGTACAGGTGCAGTGCGCGACCCCTCACTCAGCTGCAATGCGCCACAAGTGTCTCAGTCCATCCCCACCACCATACCCTCACCCACAGCCCACAGCCCGCCACACCGTTTATTGTTCTTTTCGGATATTTCGGATATCTCGGACTTTTCGGACTTTTGTATACGTTATTCCCACAGCTATTCCCATATCGCGCATTTTCTCTTTCCGTCCCCTTTTTCGTTCCCTCCCAGGCCCTGTCCTTCTCTCCAGACGGCCGCTGGCTGCTCTCCCTGGGTCGTGAGCCCGACCGATCCGTGGTGCTGTGGGACGTGGGGGCGGGGCAGCTGGTGGCGGCGGGGCGCACGGAGCAGCTGCCCACTGCGGCGGAGTGGCTGTGGGGCGGCGACCACCCCGCCTTTGCGAGTGTGGGGCCGGAGGGGCTGCTGCTGTGGACGCTGCAGGACAGGTAGGTGCACGTGGGGGTCGCCTGGGTCCGGGAGCCCGGGAGGAGCTGGGAAGGAGGGCGAGGGAGGGGAGAGGAAAGGGGGGCGTCCTGTTCGACCTAGTTCCGGATCCCGCTCCAACAAGCCTCCTCCAATACCCTAACCTTGCTTCAGAACCTCTCCTCACATACTTCCACGCCGTACACTCCTGACGTACCTCCACGCCGTACACTCCTCGCAGCTTCCTGGAGCAGCGCAGCGTGCCGCTAAGCGACCAGGACGAGCCCGTACCTTGTACGGCGCTTGCGGTCGACCCCGCTGGCGCGTTGCTGGTCGCAGAGTCGCCGTACGCCGGGAGAAGTGCCAGCGGCGGCGCCACCTCCACCTCCACCTCCACCGCGATGGAGCCGTCTCCGCCGTCCATCCGCATCTGGCACGTGGAGGCCGCCGGCGCCATTGCGGGCGGCTCGGCAACCTTGGCACAGGCAAGCGCCCTGATGAATGATGAGAGCGAAATAGAGAGAGGAATTTGTGAGCGAAGCGAGCTTGACTATCCATTTTTGGGCTCGCAGGTTGCTTTTCTTGCGCGACGTGTCACGTGGCTGCCTGCCTGTCTGGCTGTCTGTCTGTCTGCGCACACACCATGTATGCCCCTCCCCTGCCCAGGTGGCCCGACTGCCTGGCCCGTCCGCGGTGACTGCCATGGCGGCCAGTTGCGAGCTGGCGCTGCTGGCTACGGAGGAGGGCCACCTGGTGAGGTTCAGGTGAGCAGAGGGCCGCGGGGGAGAGGGACAGTGCGGCGGCGGAGGAGACGGAAGAGGAGGAGGAAGAGGAGGCGGAGGAGGGGAAGGAGGAGGCGGAAGAGGAGCTTACCTTCACAAAGACAAGGCACACATAAAGATATGAAATGCTTTGGGGCATTGGCAGCGTTGATGCCTTGCATGTATGTTTACCCTATCGTATGATGTATGTCCTTCTTCCGCAATGTCCTCTGACGGCCGCCTGTCGGACGCAGGCGCACCACCGTGAGTGGCACCTGGTCTGAGGAGGCTACCCTGCAGCTGGATGGTCGGGTGCTGAGCCTGTGTGCTGAGCCGGGCATGAAGGACGCCGTGGTGGCCACAGCCACCTCCACCATCTGGTTTGTGGGAATGCAGGTGCGCCCGTCCTCCTGGTCGCGGGCTGGACGCAGGTCACACATGCCATATTGAGGACGGTTTGTGACTTTGAATGTTTGCCGCGCCAACGCAGGACGGCAGCTCCGTGCCCATCGTGTGCGGGCAACCCGCCCCGGTGCTGGGACTGCTGCCGGCCCCACATGACCCACGGGTCATGGCCTCCACATCGGAAGACGGCCTGTTGCGCGTATGGCGCCTGGGCCCCGACGAGGTGAGATCCAGGTGCAGCATTACGGCATCACCAGCATGCCTGTGCCTGTTTCCCCCCTTTTTCTCCTTGCTCTTCCTCTTCCTCTTCCACTTGCTCTTCCTTCGCCTCAACCGCCTGCCTCTCCACCGCAGGCCGAGCCCATCATCGAGCTGCGCTCCGCATCGGCCTGCACCGCCGCGGCCTTCCTTATGCGTCTTCCCGAAAGCAGCACCCGCAGCCGCCCCGCTGCAGCGGAGGACGACGATGAAGAGGCCGCTGCTGCTGCGATGGCGGAGGCGCTAGAGGAGCTGGATATGGCGCCGCCGCCTCCTCAGCCCATGCTGCTGGGCGGCTACCGAGACGGCTCCCTGCGGCTGTTCGCGTTGGAGCCTGCTGTGGAGCTGCAGTGGGCGCTGGCGCGTCACCCGGCCCCGCTGGTGTCCGTATTGCCGCACCCCTACAAGCCCTTGGTGCTGACGGCGTCCAGGTGAGAGCGGAGTGGTGCTGACGAGGTGATGGGCTCTGGGTTGGGTCGGTGGCACGTGAGAGGCTGTGGGGGAGTGTTTGTTTGGGGATGTGGGGGCCGCGATGATGGCCGGTCCAGATCATTCCCTTCCTTGTTT